AGAGCGGGCGGATACAGTTCGCAGGCTGCAGCAAAGCGCAGTATTGTTTGGTCTGTTTTGTTCAGGCAGTGCTGGGTTCTGAACAGTAATGATGGAAGAATCAAATGTATCAAAAGATTTCATTTATTCTCCAATTATGCTTTCACTTTTCGCAATAACAGACTGCAGAATATAAACTGATCACCGCAGTCACATGAATATCAAAAGGAGAATTTTCCACTAAATTATGATATTAAATAATGTTAATTTCTCTATAATGAGTGTCACTCATTTAAAAATGTAATCAACACAAGAAAAATATTTTTCTAAAACTTTACTAATCAAAAAATGGAAAAATTAAAAATACTACATTTTCAGTCATCTTACCTTAAGCTCTTTCAATGACAGCACTTTGCTCTTGTTAGGACTAGGTATAACAGGACAGCAGCACTCCTTCACCCTAGAAATAAGACAGAAAAAGAAATAACATATTTGTTCTCTTATCAAAGCATATTTTACCAGCAGGAGCAACACATAGATGTGTACAGAAACAGCAGCAGCAGATGAGTGTCTCAGAAATGCTGCAAGCCAAATCACATTACAACATCCACACAGTTAGACAGCCAAAGGAAAAAATGAATGAGGCCTTACAACAAGGAAGCAGCAGGCTGCAGCTGTGGTTTGTGAATTACGCTAGTTACATTCTCTGTCTAGAACAGAAAAACGTATTATAACTTACCACTTCATCTTCCAGCGGCATATAGCTGCTACTAGCGATGGAACTATCACTAGCAGGACTAGAAGGTACAGCATGTTTGCTGTGAAAGAAAAACACTTTAAAATTTTGTTTTCAACTTCTCACCTGTTAGAGTCAATATATCCTGAAGCTTCTGGGACAAAAATAACATCAAACCTATGTAGGATACCTGCCACTAACTCAGCAGTAAAACTGTGTGGTCCATGGTTGCAAGATAGTTTGGCTGGAAATTCTGGGTTACAGCTGTAAGTCTTTGGACTTTGATTTCCTGTACCAAAATTGAATTATTACTAGATTGCTTTTAATTTGCCCTCATGTCAGCATCTTAACAATAAGGGTAAATTTCCAAAAGTTAAGACAATTATAACATCGCTCATCTATTTGTTTTAGATTTTCTGTCAGATCCCCAAAGAGGACAGATTTTTTTTCCTGAGACACTGACAGAACGACTGTGCCTCCAGTATGGATGGTCTATAGCAAGACAGACACTACACAAGGGTTCATGCTCTCCTAGGATTTATGCTGACACAAGAATCTCAGTATTTCCTTCTAGCTGGAAGACACAATCTCGGGCTACATTTTTCACAAACAGTGAAGGGTATAATAAGCAGGCCGAGGGGGAGCACTAGCTAGTGCGTGCTCTCCCTCTGCCCTGGCCAGTGCCCTCTTGCCTTGTGCCAGCGAGTTTGTGTGTTCCTACCACACACCACGGCAGGGAATTGACACATGTTACATTCTCCTTTTATCTTTTCTGGGTTAATTAAGCCCCCATTTTGTTTCCCTGCCTGGCTGCACAAATGTCTGTGCCGGCACAGGAGAAGGGTGGCTAATTGGAGCTGGAACACGGGTGTAAGAGGCAGAACTGCCTCTGTGAGGGCACTGTGAGGGTTCAGACACTGTTCTGCTAGCTAACCTAAAACGTGAAGTATCCTTGCATGAGCAAAGGCTTCACCCTTTCCTACCCCTCCCCCTTCACCTCCGCCTCCAACAAAATTTTCAAAACCAGGCATCTCCCATTTGTATCATAAGTTTCACAACCAGGGCTGCTGAGTGGTATTTTCAAGGGAACAGAACTGCAGGCAAGGGACTTCCTGCTCTGCTTTGATGATCAACTCTGCCCAGTTAGCAATCAACAATGCTCAAGCCAACAATCCTTTCTTACTGATTTATGAACGAGTTAACTCAGCAATGGATTTAAAGACTGATGAGAATAACATTAGAAGTTCAAGAGTCCATACAGAAATTCACTGTTTGCGCACAGGTCTGTAGTTTTTCCCATATTAGAAAACTAGTTAAATCCAAAAGTAATTCTTAATGCATTACAGCAAACAGTACTCACTTAAGTCATGCAAATGTGCATATATTAAGCTATTTCGCAGAAAGATATAAGACTTAAATAAGGATGCAAAATTATTTTCATTCTAAAATAAAAAAAAAAAACATAGCTACTTAAAAGTATCAAAATGCCATGTTGGGATGCACATCTCATTTCTCAGTTGGATTCTTTCTCAAGTGCATGTCACATTGAATTAAGTGGTTTCCCCTGAGAAAGTAAGATTATTCTAATTTTTTTAAATCATCCCATCCTTCTGCTAGAAGACAAATTTTCCACAGCCGATACTCACAGTTAAATGGTGTATCTATGTAAATAAAGTTAACAATAGGAGTCTCTCCTCCACCTGTATATGCCTTAACCACTAGTTTGTATTTTGTGTTTGAGGACAGGTGTTTCACGGTGTATCTCTTTTCTTCTGGGTTTTCAATTGTGTATTTACATAGCACGGAATCATCTAAAATGAAACAGATGATAGAATCACAGAACAGTTTGGGTTGGAAGGGACCGTAAGGATCATTTAGTCCAAGCCCCCAGCCACAAGCAGGGACGCCTTCCACTAGACTAGGTTGCTCAAAGCCTCATCGAACCTGGCCTTGAACACTTCCAGGTATGGGAAAGGGCATACACAATTTCTCTGGGCAACCTGTTCCAGTGCATCACCACTCTCAAAGTAACAAATTTCTTCCTTATATCTAATCTAAACCCTCTTTTAGTTTAAAACTGTTACCCTTTGTCCTGTCACTACAAGCCCTGGTAAAAAGTCTCTATCTTTTTTGCAAGCCCTCTTTAGGTATGGAAAACTTACAATAAATTCTCCCTAAAATGTTACAAATCAGCTTAACCCAGACCACTAGACCACAGAAATAACAAAGCATTTGCAGTCTGCCTTCTTTGTAATTTGTACACTTTCTTCTGAGAAGGATGATGCATCCTGACTCATTGCCACTGGGTTGAACTCACATCCCTTCTAACTGGACTGTCCACAGCATTGCCCATCCTCTGGCTGACCACCTAAAAACTTGCTGTCAAAAGCTGCAACTGTTTAATTTCCTTTTCCTAGAGCTTTTTAGCAGAATGATTTGAGTTTTGCCATTTCCTTTTTTGCCAGAATCTTGTAGCCCTTAAGCTTAGGTCAAGTTCTTTGAAGATAATCAAAAGCAAGAAATCTCTGCCTGAAAAAAAAACTTTTGCCTTTTTTGCAAAAAACTCTTTTGCAACTCCCAGACCCCAGGGAGAAAAGGGTTAGCTTATTCCTCCTGTTCCCAGTCACACCCCTTGTCTGCTAGCTCAGACAAACTGGGAAGCAGCAAGTCTTCAATTTAAACATTTTAATGTCTAATTAGGATTACTTGCAGAATTATGGTACTTCTATGGTTAGTTTAGTTCCGACAGGAACCCCTACACAAGCCTCCTTCAGTTCAGACTAAGCTTTTCAGTCTGGTACTAGTCTAATCAGGAGAAGGATCTGATACAGGACATGACTCAACTGGAAGAAGGGGCAAGGAAAAAAAAAAAAATCCTTGAACATTTGGAAACATCTCAAAATTAGAATGGAGGAAAGTCATCTGGAGCAGTTTTGAGTTTGGAGCATGAAAACCAGATAGAAAAGTTTAAACGTGGCTTTGTGCCACCCCACAGCTCACTTCTGCTGAAGGGACTCCACTGTAGAGCACAGCCACAAATACTTTCGCTATAAAAGAATTTAAATGGGGAATTTACACAGTGCTCCAATTCTGCAGCAAATAAATTGTATCCCATCTGTTTCTAAAATACCCCAAATCCTAGTAAAATTAACATGCTTCCTGTGACTCTCATCCAAGTAGACCACAAACAGATGTTTTCAAAATTCATCGAGAACTCAGATCAGAAGAGGTGGAAACTTGACTCCTCCTACAGTACTGCAAGAATCTTTTCTGGAGATCACACTGCAGTTAAAAGGAGCTATGGACAACAGGACTGAGGCTATAAATCTGTATAAAGCCAGGACCCATTTCCGCTCATTCGCAGCTCAAGGATTAGAGAGGAATCAAAAGCAGCAAGTGTTGAAATCTACATATTGCCTAATGAGCCAATTTGCATGCTTAATGTGAACTTTCTAAGAGGCTGCAGTATCAGCAACAGCCACAAAGCCTTTCACCTATATCAACAACACAACTTCCTAAATCCCAGAGCTCAGTTACCTGGAAGAATATGTTTTTTGGATCCTTTCAAACTGCAGACCTCTTGTATAGGTGACACATAAACATGGTAGCCTCTTAGAAAACCAGACTGTGATTCATTTGTGGGATAAGAATCCCAAGACAGTGTTACTGCATTGAAAGTCAGTTCAACTTTTTCCACAATAGGGTCAAGCAGAGGAGCTGGAAGAAAGGAAATTAAAGTTAAACTTGCTATTATTGTTCAAGACTATCTTCTCACTTGAAAAACATCTAAATTCCCCCATGTGGCGTTTCTGTTTGTATCTTACTTGTATTTAAAAGCTGAACAAAGCCAAAGTGCTCCACAAAAACTGTTAACTTCACAGAGCCTTTACACAGTCCACTTTACACACAAAGTGACTGCGAATCACAGCTTTGTTTAGCTGTTCTAATTAATAGGGACTCTACCTGGTCACTGCAGTAGTCAAATATCCTCAATGCAGGGCCGTGTACATTGTTGTACAACTTTTAAATGCTTCGCTGATGGTACAGAAACACAGCAAATACAATTGTAGCTAGTTGCTGGAGGAAGGCTGCAGAATTCTGTTTGTGACAGATGAATTTAGCAAACACATAAACCCTAAATATGTTGCCAACTTACGTAGCTCCCTGAGATAACCAGTCTTCTTCTCCAGTAAGGAGGCTCTATTAGCAACAGATCCATACACATGGAAGTTGTATCTCAGCCCCGGAACAAAAGCAGCTAGAAAACAGTGGAACTGATTACAAAAATAGGTTATGGTTTGTCTTTTGGTTTTGCTTTTACTTAACTGCTTTCTACAGATGTCTATAACCCATTAGAAATCTTCCTTGTGTGCAATTGTGCTATTAAAGTAACTGAAGGAGATACAGGGTAAACCAATTCTTAAGGTGCATAATGTGAATTGAACACATTTATTCTGTCTGAATGACAGAATTGGGGGGGGGCTTTAATATATTTTTTTGTATTTGAGATGAATGCACTATAGACTCTGAATGCATCAAAGAGCAAGATAATTTAATTTCCATTTCTGGCACAGGCAAAGGTTGTGTTTTGGACTGTTTAATGTAGACTCATACCCATGCATCAGAATTCTGTGTTATCCTTGCTGGCATCCACTCCTATTTGGATTAACCAAGTGCAATGCACTGAAGAACTGGACAACATTTTTTCCATGTGTTACCACATTGTCCTTCAGTAAGGGCACGGGTTCCAATGTGTTTGTATGAATTGAACTACAACTCCTTTATTGCATATTGAAAAGTGTTTAAGTCAAATTTTCTTCAAACACGTTTCATTCCAAAGGGAACTCTCAGCTCTAGAGGCTCCAGGAAGGCTATATTCTTGCAGCTGTGGAAGCGTATCAGAGCAACTTTCACAGAGCCAGAAAGGATTTAGGTCTAATGGCCACCACTGGGATAAAAAACACACAAATGGTCCTAACCAGGAACTGGTGCTAAGATGTATTATTTGTGGCACACTGACAGCACCAAACCTCTCACTACACAGTGGGTGTTAAATTGCTGGAGTCTAAACTTCTGACCTACATTACAGATAAGGCAGAGGCTCCATTTTGCATCTCTCCTGCTAAAACATTTTTAGCTCCTTATAAACCTCACCATCCTCCTTCAAGATGTTACTACAAGCTACTCAGAACAGCTTCTTCTCTAAAATATTGTGCTGACTTCCAAGGTTTAATGGGGCTGGCACATTTGCAGTGTCTAATTCATTTGCTAGGCAAAACATGATGTCACACGCCTTTGAAAAATTACATCTGCACTGGACAGACTTCAATATTCCACAAGATTTGTTTCCTAAATTCAGTTAATGACCACAGCATGAAAGATTGCTGCACTGACATCAGAAAGAAAAATTGTTTGGCTTTCACCTGAGTTGATCAGAGCACTGGAACTGTTGGGCCCAAATCTCCTCCATTGCAAATCACAAGGCTGCAACATCGGAAAGTTACACCAATCGATAATGTAACTGTCATATATATATCTGGGCTCCCAAGAAATAAAAATGCCATCATCTGTACCATTAACCTGTTCTTCTTTAAGCTCTTCAGTGCCTAGGAATGAACAAAACAGAGTCTCTATTATTTTCCTGCATGAGACCTCAGATTCATAAATTAAGATCAATACAGTTTCTATGCCAAGCTGTTAAAACAGTAGTAAAATAGGTGCATTCCTTCACTATCAGACATATGGGATCTTTCACATGCTGAAAGCTGATTTCTTTGTATGTTGAAAGCTGACAGCTCAGAAAACATCCAGTAACTATTACTCTATAGTCATCAAAATAATTCAACTGCAGAAACGTGGAGTCATAAGAAGAAAGTCACAAGAGGCTAATCACACACAAGAGTTCCCTGTGAGTTACCGGCTGCACCTTCACAGGTCTGAGGCCCTAGTTTAAGGCTAAATGTGTTTTGCTCTGCGGAGACTCTATGCAAAACAGACTTTCTGTTGTAAGGGAGGGATCAAGGCACTTAAGGTTAATATACCTACAATTACCACCAGTCTTGTAGGCAAAAATACAGTAATAATTTCCAGATAGCAGCAATGTAAGTTAACAGTCCAGGTTAATTTTTTCCCCCCAAGATGATAAATTATCACGTCACTTAAAATAGGTAGAAACAAAACTCTCATAACAGCAATCTAACTAAAAATACTCCTACTGTTACCTGTAGCTCTAGGGATGATCAATACTGAAGGAAGTGAATAATTAACACTGTTCTTTGCCATAATACTGATTCTGTAGGAATGGTTATCAATGGAAATCCTTGTGCTATTGTAGACTGATGAAAAGGAGATGCTTTCAGGCTTAGAGCCATCTTCTACTTTTTCCCATGTTACTTCATATGAAATACTTCCTCCATTTGCTCGAAAACTTGGTGTTTGCTGGGGAAAAAGTTATGAGGGTAGACACAAATTACTTAGTAAATTTTGCCAAAAAACTATGAGAGGAACATTTAGAACTTTAAATAACTGATTGCATATATTATTTCTGTAAGAACATAAACACTTGTTTCCATAGATGCATACATATACTGGTGAAACGGAAATGCTGAAATCTCAGTAATGGGATTTGTCCTGTTGTAATACTTAGAAAAACAGAAGTAAACGTCTGAAATGCCAGGACAGCACACCACCACACTGCTACATACATTCTGAAATATGTTATATATAATATTTGACTTAAAACTCTAAAAAGAAATTTTTGTACTGAATTGCTGCTAAGTGTACACAAACTTGTTAAAGTTCATGGGAGAAGTTTCCAACCCCTTTATGAAGGGTTTTGTTTCCTTTTCTATACCAATGTCTTACCTTCCAGAACAAGGTCACATTCCGCCCCCCCAGAACTGGTGTAATTTCTCTCCAGATGTCCAGTTTCCCTGATGGAGCTACAATAAATACAGCAAAACAAAGATGCTCTAGGTGCAGAAAGTATAAACCATTTAATTGCTTCCTCACATTTGAAAAAAAATCCAACCCTAAAACCTCTTTTTCCCCCATCACTCCTAGGTCTTGCCAAAATACTATCTTTTAACTTCTTTCTCCCTTCATTCTTTTTTCTAAATGAATGTCTGGTTCATTTCCCTAGAAAATCTTTCTTTGCCTGCTGTTCCCAGGCATTTGTTCCCACCTCTGTACATTCCTCCAGCCCTCACAGAACACTGTAACTCAGTCAGTCCATCCTCCCAGTCATCTGGATTTCCCACTGCCTGCAGGATGAGAGTCGTTTAAGAAGCCACTTAAAGTTTGCTAAGTTTGCTTACTTTTACACATGCAACAGGCCTCTCCTTTAGCTACAGAGCAGAAAGCTAGCAACAAAAAACAAACAGTGGTGGCAAGCGAAGGACATCCTTCAATTGTCCCTGCTCAATAGGCTGGACATACTTGCTTCGTTTGTTCTGATGGTTCGGGCTTCGCTCCATTCACTCCACCTCCAGAAATGCTTAGCTACCCCACAGTGTACTCTGGCTGTGTATTCAGTGTATGGCTGCAGTTCACCCAGGGTGATGCTGCCATAATGGAGATGTGTGTCTGAACTGTTATGCTGCAAGACAGAAAAACAGAACAGTCAGAGCTCAGTTTGGCTTCATTAGGAAGAGGTATTTGTCCAAAAAAATCGTTCTTCCTCTAGATCCTACAATAGCCAGTTAAGCTTGACTTGGAAAAGATAATCATGTCCTAACAGTCAAAAAAAAAAAAAAAAGTACAAACTCAAAAGACTGGGAGACCCAAAAAGAGATCTGCAAGCCGTCTCCCTGTAACTGCCTGAGTAGGAGTCACTCACAGCCTCTCAAATGCCTACTCTTTACATCAAAGAGGGAATTTACTGAGATCTTGTCCTCATAGAGTCTGGGTCTCTTACTCAGTTCATGTAAGTAGAATGCTGTTCTATATCTATGCACAGCATCTACATCTACCTTGTCTTTCAATTTTTTCTCCAACCTTTTTCCACACTCCCTCCTAAGAGACAGGGCAAGTTCTGGTAAGAGTCAAGAAGTGAGCATATTTTTAAGCCTCTCCTCTAAACTGTCTCCTGCAATGGTCAACTGCAGCAGCCATTTCATAAAACAGCTCTTGAGCAACGCTTAAGACAGAACACAGCTTGATCCTGATCTTCATAATGCCTTTTTAATATGGTAGAGGCAAGCTGCCTTCATAAGACAAGGGCTACACAGAAACCACAGTACGAAGAGTCAGCCAGCCTCACTTTTTGTGAAAGAGGTGGAACAAGACAAGGAGGCTACTCAAACAATCTTCAAGGAGATAGAAGAGGATGGAAGAAAAACTGTTCTGGGGTTCCCTCACTAGAAACCAGATGCACTACAATCAAGTACAGTCAATAGTACACAGAAAGCTCCTGGCCTAATGTAAAAAAAGCCTTCAACACACCTCCCAACCATTTGTAAGATATGAGTAATAAAAACATGACAAATCAAGATTAGCACTAGCTAACAGCAACTGTAAGGCCCAGAAGTATTTTAGTTTACTTCAACAAATCTCAGAACCCATCCAGCAGATGACAGAGCCACATACGCAGAGCAGTCACACCATACACTTCCATCAGCAGTATAGGAAGTGTTGGGAGTATGAATTAGTGCCAGCAATGGCTGCCCACATGGACCACATCATCAACGTAGAGCTTGGGAGCAAACAAATCCAGAAAACAGACACATCAACACGCTTACAAGATTTAGAGTGTATTCTTATTGCTGGAGAGTCATTTTTTAATCTCATGTCAAAAAGATACTCCGTATGTTTTTGTGTATGAAATTCAGGTTTCATACCAGTTCTACTTTCCCATCAGGTTGCAGCACTTCAGTCTGACAAAAGTGTTCAATTCCTTTGTTTCGATGTTTCCAATATAATGTGATTTCTGTATCTGTGCAGTCTTCTGACAGCTGGAAGGGTGCAGCGGGATAAACTGCCAATGGAAAATCCGAGTTAGCTCTTGTAAAACATAAAATATATGCAGAAGTATTTTAAGGTATTTTAGCTGAGTAGTAAAAGCAAATAAGAAATACAGATTTTTCTGCCGGTCTAGAAGCAGCAGATACAAATTCGTAAAAATTAATTTCAGAATGTAAATGTAAGTAAATGTTATACAAGATTAAAAATACCCCTTGTGCTGACTTGGAAATATTTTAGAACATCATGAACAAAAGAAGGTCAGAGACTTTTATTGCAAATTCAGTAAAATTCTCTAATCCAAGTCCTGGTGGAGGCTCCTGATGTAGCATGGTGAGTAATGTTTGCCACATTCCTACACCCCAGCATCCAGCATCTCCGTCAGAAATTTTATTCACAACTCTTACATTGACTCCTGCCAGTAGTTACGCTCTGGTAAACAGTGCCAATGCTACTTCTTCCAAAAGATTTCTGAGATCCTTTATTGCTATGTAAGCAGTATTCAGCGAGAGCAGCAGATCTCAAGCTCTCCCGTATTATCAGTACAATTGTAAGGAATAAGATATGGCAATGCGAGTAAGTGGAATGTTTACAGCTATGGCCATTATCCTAGAATTTTATGGACCATGAATTAGAATTTGAGGACTTCCAGACTCAGAGGAGCTTGTGTTTGATACAGGGGGTCCCAGGTACCACATGCAGAATTTGAAACAATGGACTTCAGTTCTCCTTCACTTGCTGACATCCTTTAAGTAAGGATGTGTCACATCTCATTTGGAGAGCTGTTAGCAATTTTATTTACCCACTTTTCAAAATGTGCATCTCCATTTTATTTTGGAAAGACAGTAACATCGGCAATAACATTTTGGAGAAGGGACTGAATTCCCAAGTAAGCTAGACAGGTATTTTTCTTGAACTCCCTATTTTATATCCCTGTATCATGTTACTTCTTATACTATGAACCAGCTTCAGCAAAGCAGCAGATTTTGAAGCATTAAGGGGTCATTTCAATAACCAAATCTGACCTTTGGAGTGAAGCTTTTTTCTGCCATTAACACAATTTTGCAAAACTGAAACTAAAGAGACAGCATATAACGATAGCACAGGGACAGATAACTAATAAAAACTGTGAAGATAAATGTCAAGGACTTCCATACTTTAAACGGAGACACCCAAGATCACAAGGAGGACAAAGCCTGCAATAAAAAACCCTCAACAAAGACATAGAAAAGACCTTACTTCTGTGAGTTACATCAAAAACATCCGTGGCAGTTTTCTTTCCCAGTGGGTTTTCCACAGTCACTGTGATACCATAGATCCTCTGCTGGCCTATATCCCAAGAGCATGAGCACTGCTCAGAAGAACAACTCATTGTGCACGGAACCATTTTTTTGGAAAATCTATAGAAGAAGGGGTAGGGGAAGAGGGGTGGGGGGGAAAGAGAAAGACGTTTTTCCAAAATGTACCATCAACATAGATGTTGAAATTTTTTATGCCCAACTAGAATACAGCATCATAAAAAAGAAGGCTGAAGTGGACTATAAGAAGCTACCCAGTTCTTTTCCCTAGCCTGAAGTAGGATGAATATAGGTGTTCTTACAATTAGAAGAAAGCTTTCTTCAAAGTCTAAGTTTACTTTATTCTTTTAAGATATAGCTAAATTGCTATCCTTTTAAGATACAGCTAAATTGGTTTTAGGGATTTCCTCATCAAAATTCTAAACTATGGACTTATTTGCCAAGAATTAAACTATTCACATGTCTACCATTATGCCGTTAAATGAAGCAGTAATTTCAAGTGCATCTTCTAACCTTCCATTTTTAAATGACCATCATAGTATCTTAATGGAAGTGAATGATGCACAGATCATGAAGGTATATGCAGTGATGACCTGCCTTCTGCCAAGATCTTTTGATGAAAGCTTGTTGTGATGATGACGCATCTGGCCTGTTTTATGAGTTCCCCGTTCCCTGCAGGCCCTGCTGTAAAGCCCCTTTTCTCTCCATTTAGATGGCTCTGTAGCAATGAGCCAAGAGTGAGGTCTGATATGCCACAGCTGTGCAACCTTGACTCAGATTGCTAAGAAAGCTGTGAGAAAGTCTGCTGAGAGACTTTATTAAAAAAAAAAAAGAAAAAGAAAAAGAAAAAAAAAACATTGACATTATAGACAGAAGTAGGATTTTTGAGATAGGATTGCCATTAGCTCAAGGACTGAAGAAGGAAAACACCAGCATGTAAAGTTATAATATCTTAAAGAAAAAGAACTAGAGAGGCTAATCAGGCTAACTGAAGGTTAGCTGGGAATCATCCATTTAAGTCAGCACTGGCATCAATGGACTGTGAACGCACTATTACTGAGCCTACCAGCTGATTAAATTCTAGTTATCTGTTCTGTCTGTTACCCAATAATTGTGTTATACTTTTAGGTTAGCTATACCTGATTGAAGGGTGTCTTCGTACCTACTGAAAGGTATCCATACAAATTAACCCAAAAGAATGGTTAGAACAAGCTTTATCAAGCAGAGCCTGGTCTGATGGACCCACAACTTTGTTATAGGAAGTCTAATTCAGAGCAGTTCTGCACCGCTCAAACTTTGTTAAATAAGCTGAACAGTGAGCTGGAAAGAGGCAGGCAGCTAATTGCAGCAAGGATAAAAAACATTTCCACAGATTTTAAAGGAAAGAACGTCCTGTTCTGTACTGCTGTCACCGTTTGATTCCGATTGAACTCGAATGCCTCAGGCCAAGAGTCCGGCGGAGCCTTTCTGCTTGAGCCACTTGTGCCCCACATTGGACGCCAAAAGATCTGTCACCGTTAAAGGCTGGGCCGGCACTTAAAACGGGCGG